CTCCTTCTTTCTTATTGTGACGATACCACACGGACCACAGCGAGATGGACACGGCCCGCCTCTCTCGATGACAGTGGCAAACTTATGGCCATTGGCGTCGCTGGAGACGTGATCAGGTTCATTTTGATGTGACCCTGAGATCTTTCGGATGACATTGGCGCCATCTCTCGACAAAAAGCACACGGATCACAGCGAGATGGACACGGTCCGCCTCTCAATGACAATGGCAGCTTTTGGCCATTGGCGTTGCTGGAGACTGGTTAGGTTCATTTTGATGTGACCCTGAGATCTTTCGGATGACATTGGCGCCATCTCTCGACAAAAAGCACACGGATCACAGTGATCAACACGGCCCGCCTCTCGATGACAATGGCAACTTTTGGCCATTGGCGTTGCTAGAGACTGGCCCGGTGGATTGAACTGTGACCGTGGCAGCTTTCTTTCCGATGGCATTGACATAATCTCTGCTCTCGACGGCAATGACAATTTTGACCATTGCCTACGCAGAGCCGCGGCCCTTGTATTCAGTTGCCATCCGAAGATCTTGGTCATGGAAGAATTGATTGGAGTGACGATCCCACCATCGCGCTTTCATTTCACAGAAGGGGACCATACTACTTGCAGCTGCACTCGACGACAGTGGCAATCCTTCGCCGCCGCATGTTGCCACTGGTAGAGCGATCCCCTTCTGAGGATGCATATGCGCCACGTGTCAACTATCTCTGACTCCACTTCTGGAACATGAGGAACAAGACGATGCTGGAGCTCTTGGCATACCTTGGCCATTGCCGCTGCTGGAGCCCAAGCTTGATGATATCCTTGCTTTTGTTTGATTCGGAACGAGACGCCAATGTTCTGGAATGTTACCAATATGCATCGCCATGAAGAAGTGTCATTCTGGTTGCTCTCGACGATCATGGCAAATCTTGGCCATGGTCGCTGCTTGAGCCCGCTGGAAAGGAAAGATGCTTTTCCAAGGTTGAAGCGTGTGTTGATGACTTTTCCTCTTGGAAAGTGGTCCGAAACGTTGCCAGCATCGCCACAAAGAAGGGATCTGTTCTTTGTTGCTCTCGACGACCACGGCAAATCTTGGCCATGGTTGCTGCTTGAGCCCACGATTTGAACAACGACCTTCCTTGTGCTAGCTGGTGACTTTCCGTCCCTGTAGCATCGTCTCACCCAAGCTGAGTTGTGGAGGGGTGAACGCTGGAGACAAGCCCACTTTGCTGGCTTGTCATTGGTGCCTTCAGCCCAAGCCTGAGCCTCTTTCTGCTCCCTGCATTGATGGGTCGCGATATTTACTTGCAAAGGCGACTGAACAAAACTCTTCTCTTTGGGCTGGTTACGGGACAGATGGACGCGATGAACGCCTTGGACAAGCCAGTTGATGCCTTGTCGAATGAGCATTCATCGGCCTCTATCTTCTCCCGAAACAAAGTCTGAAGCATTGATATTCGCCCGTCCAGACTTCGGTTTGCAACGGATAGCCTCGAGGATGAACGCCTTCGACCAGCCAGCTGGTGGCTTGTTCAATGAGCCTTCATCCAATCCTTCTGTTCCCAACCAAAGTCTGAATTGATCTTTCATCTAACGGCCGCTTCAATCCGTCACGGTGGCAAATCAGCCTCGCACGTCTCCAGCTACCTCACCTTCCTCGATGTTCTGTCTGGTCAAGAACTTGCTTGATCCATCTGGCCGTCCGGAGTTTGGTGGTTGGTAGTTGGATGTTTGACGAGGCACATGTGCCAAAGACGAAGACCGTCCCGCATATCTTTTTCTGCTTCTCTGACGCTATGTCTGGTTCTCAAGAACTTTTCTCGATCATTCTGACCGTCTGGGTAGCGGAGACGGTATGCGGCCCAAGCCCCCATTCTGCCAGTGTTTTCTTGGACTCTGCTGTCGATTCCGCCCGTTCCAAGAATAACGAATCATTTCGCAATGCCACCACTTACTGTGGGATGAACTAGACCTGGTCCTGGGCTGCTCCAGTTGAGGAATTACAACTGGAGTAGGACTGGTACGAGGTTTGGTACCTCCCATGGATGGATGGCTGGCTGGACAAGCTTCAAAATCTGCCACCATAATACGCCAAGCACCAATTCTGCCTGTGTTTTCTGCAACTCTTCCGTCGATGCGTTCCGTGCCAATCATTTCGCATGCCACGCTTTGGCAAAAGATGAGACAACACTGACTGACTTGGTAAATTCCGCATGTCTTGAGTCGGTATAGGGTCCCAAGTCTAGCTAGCTACTAGTAGGCATACTAGTAGTCCTAATAATACTAAAGTGTTACAACGAGAAACCACCGCTTCCTCGCTCATTCCTTTTCCTTACATTAGTTAGTGTTTCTTTCTTCTAGTTCGATTGGGTTTGGCTGTGTGCAAGTGTTGTCGTCTGAGTGCGTGTAACCAGAATTGAGCTGTCGTTCCTGGCTCTCCAAGGCTTGACTTTTGACTAACAGGGCCAGCATTGAGGTGGGTGTTTCCTTGTCCTTTTCGCTTCCAAGAATCCCTCGAAAGCCTCCTTCAGATACAGTGACAGTATATCCCTGGTGTCCCATCTTTCCTTTCATAATTCACGTGCTTGCTGAGAGCTTCAATCCCAACTTTTCATCATAGTTCACTCCCTCGGCCAACATACGGTAGCAATACGCTTGGTGAATTCTGCGGCAGCATTACCAAACCACCAGCAGTAGGTCATTTCATCCCAGATTGTGTCTCCCAAGGGCGAGTCGCAGGCAATGCAACTGGAGGCAATCATGTTGTGAATGGAATAGAGAAATGCTTCAAACGTCATGAACTCCGGAGTACTCTTCCAAATCTGGACCAGGTAGTTATAAGGCACACTTCAATAGCCGTGTGCACGACGACACCGAGACAGGATGCCACGAGCCAAAAGGAATATGCATGCTCTCCTCCCACGGAATCGAACAGCCGCTAACGCGACGGCGAAGGGGACGAAAGAGCGGGAAAAATCGATGGCCATGTGAGTTGCCTGAAGCTTCGTTGGTGGTTTGTTGTTGACGATCTCCCCCCAAATACTTCCATGTCCATGATGACCATCTCCCTCTCCTTTTCCCGCATCAGTTGTAGCTCCTACAATTCCCATGGTTGTCGCAGTCGATGATTCTTCTTCAGCCGTAGCAGGTGCTGAGCATGGCTTGTTCAAGACGAGCAGCAGCAACCTCGAATGTCTTCTCGTCATCGTCACTGTCGTCGCCTATCACAGAGTTCACAAAATTGTTGTATGTTTCGGACACACAACAAAATACATGTACAAGACAGGATCCATGCTGGAGCCTCTCGAAGAGCTGCGAATTCGTCAACTTCCACATGATGCCAATCACAATCACCTGACTGATGGTGACGTAAGATTCCAAAGCATCGTAGAGAAAGGTATCATCAGGACCTAATTAGGAGACCATCCTGCAGCGGGGTAGCATCAGCAAGAAGTGCCGATAGGCAGAGGATCGAGCGCAGCAAACTAGGAACGGCCCAACAGGGAGAATGCTTGTTGATAACCCTAGCATCGGACCGTTTCTTTTTTCATGCTGGTTCTCTGAAGGCTGGAGGGACTGGACTCAATTCTCCAAGAGCTTTTGGCCGAAAGTAACTGTGAGAATTCTCCCTGTTGGGCCATTTCTAGCAAAGGCATTTTCTTTGTTTCTTTGCATCGTTGGCCAAATTGTCTGAAGGAATTTTCCAGAAGATACTTTACACCGTCAGCTGGCCACTTTCACCAGAGAGTTCGGGTGTTCGAATTATTTTGCACAAAAAAGTGAATGACGTGGTGAACCTCAAAAGGGTTTATGATACTTTCTCTTGGAAAGAAAGATGGACACGTCACTTTCTGGAGCGAGCAACCATCATTCTGGTGAGCCCATGGGAGAGTGCCAGCCACCATCAAAGAGCGTTTCTTTTTTAGAATTTCCGTTGCGTGTGTGGCAGAACGAAAATGACCTGTGGTAGCGATTTATGACTATCCAGTTACCAGATTACTAGAAATCAACCACAACCACAACAACCAAGTAGTAACACACACAACACTATAGCAACCTCTCTATCAACACCTCCTTCCTTCCTCTATCATCAGCCTTTTTCGGCTTATCAGGCGTGGAAGCTACCCTAGCTACTACGATAGAAGAACAAGCGACGGTCGTATCCCGTTCGTTCGAACGCCATTGTCGACGATTGGAAGCTACCGTTCGAAGCAGTGCTTTCGTTCGTTCGAACGCCATTGTCGAAGCTACCTTTCGGCCGTTCGAACAACTACCACTCGTACCGTTCGAACAACTACCGTTCGACGCGACGCTACCGTGGTTCGAGCGCCATTGTCGAGAAGATAGAGAAGAAGAAGAAGGAGTTTGTTAACCGTTCGAACGTGTCGACGCTACCGTTCGACGTGAAGATACCGTTCCTTTCGAAGCAGCGCCATTGTCGCCGATTCGAAGCTACCGTTTCGGAGCTACAGTTCGAAGAGAAGAAGAAGAGAAGACCTCCAAGCGGCATAGCAACAGAAGACCTCTCAAGAAGAAGGGGCTCTCTCAAGTGGAGCGAGAGATAGAAGCAGAGGTTTGGACTTGGAATATTGATCCCTCCAGTCTGGATCAATTCCTGCCTCATTGTCACCAAAGAAATCGATTGAGCCAAGGAGAGGGGACGCCTGATCCAAGAGTTTTGGCCTCGACTGCCACAGACTGGGTGTGCAGAGCTCATTCCGTGGAATACAGCCTTACTTGTCTGGGTGTGTACAGTTTGCTGTTGGAATAGGAGCAGAGAAGAAGACCCAACAACTGTTGCTCATCCAAGTGATACCGCAAGAGAAGAAGTAATTGGAGGCGAATATGGCAGGCAATCTTGCAGCCATGAACAACTATCTACAGAATACCATCGGTATTGCCGAATTAGCCACGAGGACAGCATTGAATGATCAAGGATTGGATGCCTTCGTCTCACTCGATACCTTTACCGATGCTGATATCAAGAGCATCTGCGAGAACGTGAGGAAACCAGGTGGTACCATTCCAAATCCAGCCATTGCGGCTGCAGCCACTGCTGAAGCTGCCGCAGCAGTTCAGCCCAGAGAAGTTCCCAACCGTGGACGACAGCTGGGATTTGTCTTTGAGAAGCGACTCAGACAACTACGGTTCTACAAGTTTCACATGACACGAATCCAGCGTGAGTTCACTCCCAACCAAGCCAGTTTGGCGAGATTGAATAGAGTTTGGGCTTTATACGAGTCCGAACGAGAAGAGATCGATGTTGCGGACCCTCCCCAACTC